TATTCAGTCATGTACATACTTACTATTTGAAAGCTTAAAGCATTTGATATTTGTTTGATATAGAAATCTATTCTAGGCGTCAGGATATCCTTCAAATGCGTTATTCTCCTTAAAACAAAATAGCTATCCAATACATGAATTACTTTCATTTGACAAATGGATGATATAAACAAGATCCTTGAATTCCATAATATATTTTAAGCTTCTCAAAAAGATCGCTATCAGTGTGTCAAATTGTTTAATGACTTTTTGTAACGATGATGTCACATTTTCTCTCTATTTGTATATACACAATTGAATGGTTCTGCCTCGTTGCATATCTGATCGTCATTTTCATTGAAGCGTCCTTTATATCAATGACAACTTTGTTGATAGACACATTTTATCAATATTCCATACAGTTTGATTCAGTCATCAAGTACATGCACTCAAACTATTTACATTTATTCATTGAATATCCAAAATTTTATATATGTTGTGAAGCAACATTAATACTGGAAAATCATCAGTAAAACTGTCAGAATACAAAACTACTGTACTCAATGTTGAGCAAAAACACAATACTGTCTAAGATTGAGAAAAGTAATTCATCCGATTTCTTTTGCTCAGAGGATATCTACGAAATTCGATTCTTTTTTTTCTTAGGTGACATTTTGTATAACATATAGTTTCTGATTGAAATCGGTGGTATTTTTATCAATATTATACGATACTTCTTTGATTTATGTACACTGTACTTTTTTTCTATTACAAATTATGATGATGGAATACCGTCAATGTTTTAATTCTATAGAAGTTTCATGAGCAATGAGTATAGTCTTCACCTATTAGATCAATATTAAACATTGTCAATATTTTATGATTGTTTATCAATGTTTATTGTTGAATTTTGATAAACATTTAGGCATACATGAAGATCGATTTGTTCTTACGTCACAATCCAAGATTTTTTTTTGTATTCCTAGTATGAAGAATACGAAATTCGTATAGACTTCACATTTCACCGAATACGACCGTATTTTTGGTGTATTAATGAGCCGTGAAACACTCTAATACAAGATGATTTATGGCCATTTACAAGCATGTCTGTTCAAGCTGGGTTGATTTATTTTTATTTTTATCTTACATCCATTGTCGTCTGTTTTCCATCAATACTGACAGTTTACAGCAGTTCTTAAAAAATACGTCGCCAGTTCAATTGATCTATCCGCAGATCAAGAAATACGGGCATGTTTCAGTAGGAACACACCGGAAATCGATGGCAATTGGAAGCAGTATTCCGAACCGGAAAGTCTTCGAATTCTTTCACTTGCTTTCAGTCAATTTTCTAACCTTTTCAGTATGAAGTAGCCGTAGATCATCGAAAAAAATTCGATTATTTCTAGGGTCCGAAGTCATTGACTTGGACTGGTTTTTTTACGAGGCTTCCATTGATTTTTGTATTGACTTTGGATTATTTGCCTTGACAATGTCAATTTAGTATTCAATAAAATCGATTCTTATATAGAACAGCAAGGGATGATAGATCCCGCTGCAATTTTCTTTGTTGATTCATTCTTCTAATTATTAGCTATTTTGTAGCGCTTGGTTTAATAACTAACTAAATTAGTAAACTGATGCAAAAAAAAACAAGTGTTCTCGTTAACAGAAGTGACTTGAACACACGCACGATTCTAAGAGATGCGAGGTTATAATTGGTATACAACATTTTTGTACAGGTTATAAAATATTCATGCATGAGAAGAGAAAAGAAAATATTCAAACAGACAAAACTGTGTTTAACCAACGACTTTTGGGTAGTTGTCACAGCATGAGATCTGCGTTCATCAATGACAGAATAACTTCTTAATTATTAGAATCAACTTTAGTTTTGGTCAGTTCAAGTAATAGTTATGTATCAAAAGCTCTATGAAGTTTTCACTCATTGTATTGTTATGCACGTTCAACTTTATATAATCGAATTATTGTAAAAATAATTTCAAAATATAAAAGGTCGAATAAAATAGGATTTCAAATAGTTAAAATATCGAAAATAAAGCATTGGCAGATCTTCTTTCATTCTATTAGCACTTGGCTAGTTTCATATTAAATCTTTTATTTGATTGTCTCAAGTGAGAAAAAGACGAAGGCAACGACAAATAGAAAGAAGAAGAAAAACACAAAAATTTTTGCGTTTCAAGAAATGAGTTTGCTCAAAATGAAATAAAACTCAGTGATTTTGTTAAACTTTTTACGATTTTCTCTTTGATATTTAATTATCACATTGATATCATACGCTGCAAACTATTCGAGATTTTTTTTAATTTTTATTTTATTCATAACCTTTCATACGTGTTTTTTTTTTCTAGAAGTTTTTCTTGATAAGTCATTGATCAAGAATGAACTAACACTTCAATCGACTCGAGACAGCTTGATCTCACGATTGCATTATTTTACAGTCAGCATATAAATTTTACTAACTATATCTGCACTGGAAATCAGTAGTTTTTTCTACATGAGAAATATTAAAAAACGAAGTGAAGCGGATTCGGACTGTGTCGCACATTATATTACACAGTATAACACATGTAATACATGTTATTCTAGTGTGGGATTATTAAAAGTTAAGAATGCTTGTCTTTATGACAATGTTTCTAGCAAGAAAGATAAATATGAACATTAATAATTCTCTTGTGTATCATCTAATGTTATACGCAATGTTAATGTGATACAACATATTTATATTTAGAACTATCATTATATATATGTAATATATGGTTTCATCAAATGTTGACAATCGTTATCTAATAGTGAATAAATTGAAATGATAAAATTTTAGTTGTTTTTTTTTTCGATTTCATTTAATTGTTTCTATGCATGTTCAACAAAATCATAAGTTGTAAACTATTAATATTATTCATGCATATTTATTATTTGTTTATAAATTAGTAAAACAAAATACATTGTGATAATTTTGTTTCAACAAATTTGATGTAATTCGATAAGGTCTATTATGATCTATTTGATTTCTGATCACGTGTGCTAAATAATATATTAAATTCAATTAGGTCTTTGTCATATATATATATGTGTTTTTTCCTATTTTATTATTAGTTTTTTTGTCATAAATGTAAACTTCGAGAGAATGAAGATAAAGGCAAATGTTGATTGTTCGTCGTAATTATCTCCTACTATTTGAGCGTTTATCCCAAGAAGTAAAATATGTAAATTACTGATTCTTCTTTTTATATTTATTTTGGAAGATTTCTTCAATAAGAAAAAAAAAATGGATAGCAGGGATCAGACGTACACTGAAAACCATATATACTTAGATTAGCTATTCTTTCAACTTATTCGTTTCATGTACACATATAGTCAATTGTATTACTTATGTAATACGAGTTTACATCTATAGTAATCATAAACCTTAAACATGTTTATGAAATATTACAGTCAGGGCAAACGGTTTAATATTCTACGTTGCTTTTTTATACAATGTACTGTGCACGACGTACACAAAATGTGTTGTACACTTTGACCTTCACAAAAATTAATTAGTTCGTTTGAATATTTCACTGTGTTACAAACAGCGAATATTTATCGCACAAGAATATATAAATAAAAAGTCTATTTCGTTGTTTTCATTAAGTTTACACTAACATTTTATTATTATTATCTTAATACCAAGTGCCTTCTAGTGCATAATATTTTCATCGGATATTTCAAAAATACTACTGTAGATAGAGTATTATGTTCAAGTAATTTGACTTTAAGAAGATCTTCAGAAAAAAAAAATCAATTGATTCGTATGCTCAGAACTATTTTGTAATGTGAAACCTTCAAAAACAAAATATTTGATATGTCAACAAAAGTATCAAATTGACTCGTTATTAATGTTCAACTAAACTACTGATTAATCATAGATTACACAAGATTCTTTTAGCTACACAAACAAAAACGAAACTTTCACATCCATCAGTTTTCTGTTGAATCATTATGAATACGTTTAAAATTTATAACTGAATCATGTTGTTGCTTGATTAGAAGTATTCCGAGGTTGCCAGGATCGGAGAGCGCGGGGGAGGGGAAGCCACCCACTCAAGATATCTCTGTGCTTGATGAAATTGAAATATTCAATGTATACGTTCAAAAAATTATTGTTTCGTTTTTCTCATGCTTGCTCAGATTTATAGAATCTTAAGTAAATCTATATCAGAATTCTTTTCGAATTGATTATTGATATTCAAAGTTATCAAACAAAAAAGTCAACAGTTGATATTTTTTACTCAATTTACGCAATGTTTGTTTTTATGTTACAAGTCTATGATGTCAAATGAAAGCGAAAAAACAAACATACATTTAATTGAAAATGTCGTGAATAGTTCGATGAATAAAAATCTAACATTACACATTTCTTAATCACTTGATGAGGGAATACTAATCGAAAGTTACAAATAATTTTCTTACCTAATGATTCATTTTTTGTTAAATTATTTCTTTCTTTCCTTTGCTACATAGATATAGTAAAAAAATCGACAAAAGTCAATAAACAACGATTTACAACATCATTTTTTTTTCGTAAATGTTATTTCACCTACGTATCTCTATTATGTTCTCCGTAGATGTCATCTATAATTTCGATTACTTTTTCTTCTAATAACAAAATGTTAAGGACATAAGTAAAACAAATGAATCACTCAATTCTAATTTTACTATAACAAAAACAATGAAAAGGAAATAAATATATTACTGGTATGTTTTTATTTATGCACGAAAAAAAAAAACAGTAGCCTTCGAAACACCAAACGCGTTCTCTTTTTTTTTTTCTTCTTTTTTTTGTCCTCACCACGTCTCATGCATAGCATCATAATTACACTGTAATAGATTGTACATGCATACATAGGTTTTTTTTCCTTGACATGAGAAGCTTTCTTAAACATTTAAAATTCGAGTATCTTTATTATTAAATAATATAACGTATTTTTATTTTTGATCATTATACACACGTTCATTGTTCAATAATGTTATATTTTCTTTTTATTAACATTATATTTACTCTTATTATATCTGGTTCATGGTGTAGAAATATAGAAAAAATTATTGTACCAGCAGGAGAATCATTTTCATTTGATTGTCAACAAGATGAATCAGTTTTTTTTGGACGAAAATTACATGATTGGTCAGAAATACAAAACAATGATGATAGATATTCAAATTTAAATTTAAATTTAAATTATATAAATGAAGAAAATGTTTTACGTGTTACATCGAATTCAGCCGACTCACAAAATATTGGATATTATGGTTGCGGTAACTCAAAATTGAATAAAAAGACAATGAGTCGTGTTTATCAACTGATTTTAGCCGGTAAATTATGTTTTATATGCTTATTTAGTAGATTTTTGGAAAAAAAATATCTTTTAGATGTTGACTTATTTTATTGGAGTTATATATGTCATGGTCAACCTGGTGCATGTATGAATTTCAATGATCCAGCAGATGAAACTCGAAGTACATTTGAAGTTGCTGATCAAACTTATGTTGATTTATCTTGTTGTGCATCTGTTACGGGTTATGAACATATAAATATTAAAATGAACCAAGTAGGAGAAAATCAAGACAGAATTACTATAAAAAGAAAACAAGAACTTGATGGATCATGGGTTGTCTGTGCTAATCAACATACTTTATTTAAACGATCATATTCAAGATTTCCAGAAAAGTTAACATGTGAATTAATGATCGCTAATCGAGTACATTCATCTCTAACAAGCGTTGTTGAAATCAAAGGTATATTTAAATAGAATGAGACAAGATAAAGTAAAATATATTATTTTAGATGCTATGCCAGTTAATCCTGATATTGGTTCACCTAATAGTTTTACACCATCTTCAAAAGATGGTCGAGATGATGATGAATATTTTAATGGTCAACAACCTTCCAATGATGGAAGACGAGGAAAATTAACGATCGGTGTGAGTTTTTCATTGTTCTATTAGTAGAGACAATAAAAATGAATAGAATTTCTAAATGATTTTTTTTTTTGCTTTATTCTTTTAGGAAAACAAATTGCTATTATTATTGGTTCTATTATTGGCGGCCTTTTCTTTTTTGGATTGTTGTTGTTTCTAATTTTTTTCCTTTGCTGCAAAAATAAAGGTAAAGAAAATATGAATTGGAAAATTTTATTGTAAGATTAACTATTATTCTTTATTATAGCTTTAAAAAAGTAAGTTTACTTATTCATGTTATTCTGTAAAAATTAAATTATTGTTGTATTTATTTATTTATTTGTTCTGTTCTACGTAGATCTCAAACAAAAAGTATGTTTTGTATTTTGATTTTTTTAAATCTCTATATGTCTTTGTTATAGAACCCCAAGAATATTCAGTAGTTAGTACACATGAAAAATCAAGTACAAAAGAAAAACAAAATCCAAAAGGTATGTTTAGTTTTCTTTTTTAAATAATAAATGATTATTTTGTTTCTAATTATTTTTAGAAGAAGAATCTATTTATATCGAACCAACACCATTGTATGAAAATTCACCTGTGTTTTTACGGCTCTAACAATAAAAATTAGATTCTATTTTTTATACTAACTTCTTTTTGTCTTTCACATAAATAATCTTTAGTTTGGTTCTTCTTCAGATGATACACGTCCGATATACACATATACTGACAAAGCAGTGTGTATAGATTAGAGGTTATGGGAAATCTGAAGAATAACTTTTTTTTAGTTTTTTCAAATTTTAGTTTATTTTAATCTTAGTGCACGTATCAATCAATACATATATTCATCTCATCGAAGCTTACTCTTATTTCTTTTAATAATGTATCACATATGTATGTGTAATGCAAAAGCAAATTTAAAGTATATATCATGCATTATGTATAGTTGAGAAATATATAAAACATGAGGAGATTTTATTGGATATCTTGTTAGCAATGTTCATCGGGGATTATTTTGATTTGATAGTTAATTATTTAAATAAGGCTTGTTTTCTTTCTATTAAAATGTACTTTTCGCATGATTGAATCTAAACTGTAAAGTACTATAGATAAAAATCAATAAGGTTTCAAATAGGGAAAAAGTATTTTTGATCACCAAAAAACTTAGATACTTTTGATCACCATTTTTTCATTTCTATTTTCATGATTTCTTATTTGATATAAATAAACGATAAAAGTGTAAATCTGTAAGTTCTGTTTTATGTGCTTAAAGTGAATTCGATTTATTCCGTACACACTTGACACGATGTATATCAGAAAACGCTTGGAAACAAATAAAGAACACAAAAAGAACGAGAAGAGAGGACGAAAAATAGATCTGACTATATAGATGATGATATCGATCTATATATAATAAACATATTGTATAAATCCAAGTAGAAAATAAAGAAGTAGAAGGAGAAATTCAATATCGAGAATAAGATGAATACTTGGAAAATTCCAACATAGCAATTAGGAATTTTCCAACATAGCGATAGGGAAAATTCCTATATTAACAAAAAGTAACGTCTCCTTCGTATTCAGAGTGTGGGGTGTGGGTGTGGATGTGTGGGTGGGTGTGGGGTTGTGAATCGCTCTTTTAATACTCATATCTAAACCCATACCCACACCCAAGTTGTAAATAGGTCTTTGTGATTTTTTAATACGTTGTTAATAGTATACAGACTTTTCTTATTGTGAATGTTGCATTATTTCAGAAATAAATATTTTGAAATGAAGAAACTAAAAAATGGTGATCAAAAGTATCATTTTTTTGGTGATCAAAAGTAACTAAATTTTTTGGTGATCAAATGTATCTTTTTTTGGTGATCAGAAATATTGTCACCCTTTCAAATAAATACACGAGTCAATTTTCTTGATGCCGCACATGACCTTTTGTGAGAGTATTTATAGAAATAACTCACACTATTGATTATGTTTTTTCTATGACGTGTAATGAGGTATGACATGATCGAGGTGGATACCCTTTCAGCTTTTGAAGATTCGGTGGCAGCTTTTTCTCATTTTAGGTTAACTATGAGAGCTCTATTTACTTCAAATTACACAATTATTTTTTACAGATAAAATAAAGATAGATGCTCCTCAAAAACTCGATTAATTACTACGACAAGCTGAGATATTTGTAAAATATCAAAAACTCTTCAGTCAATCGAGTTCGAAAATTCGCTACAAGTTTAAGAGTTTCTAATGGAACCTGCTGGTCATCTCAATGAGCAAAAGTTGTCACAAACGTGATGCAACACAGAAATTTTAAAAGTCTATACTAATGCTTGCTACACAGTAGATGGTATTGAGTTTTGTATAAACTTATGAATTTGTCTCAAAGTTTGACTCTTATGTAAAGGTCAGTCGACAATGATAAAATTTTTCTGTTTCTAAATGTAGAAAACCCAGTTACATTACGTTCGCTTAGTTTCTATTCCGTCGTAACGATCTTTTTTTAGACCACGCTTTGCTTTGATGTTGGCGAATAGCTGCTTAAATCAAAGAAACTTTCATGTTAGAACGAACAAAGCTTAATTTTTATTGAGATAATTCGCACAGTGTATTCGTTTTCGTCCTCACTTTGAAAAAGCAAATTTATCTAGTTAATTGGAAAGGTATCTGATTTCTGAAAGATCATTGAATTTCTTGCAAAGTTATCAGTTATACTCTAGCATGAAGGAGAACAGTAGTGCATTGGTTGTTGATGCGTAAATACACTCACTGGAATTGTAAACGCATTTTCAATTAAAAAACCAATTACAATTCCCACATTTGATTATAGGGATATTTCTTTAGGCTTTCTAGAACTCGAGAGAATCATTGGTATCACTGTGTACACATATAACGAGTTTTGATCGTGGCTCGTCAGGGAGCACTACACATTTTCAGACCACGACGCTGATATATAAGGTCAACTACACGATCAAAAGCATTTTTAAGGTCAGATTTTTTGATTTAGTAAAAGCTTCAATAAAGGCTTTGAAACTTCAATCAGCATATAAAAAATGTTGTTGGTATAATAATGATAAATGAAATACAAATTTATCTTTGACTCTTTTGATCGTGCCTTTCTGCACTGACTTCTTCCCACCATCACTACATTTAATATTTACTTTAAAGGAAATTGAGTTCCATCTCACGGGAATCTTTAAGAATATTAGAACATCTATGAAATTCTTGATTTTTTCATTATATCATATAAATTTATTTATTTCGTACAAATAACTATTAGATGTACAGAGAGCAAAATAATAATAATAAGCGTCTATCTATATAAATAAATGTTTCTTATTACGAAAAATTATTACGTATTGTAACGAAATTGTTCGGAAATTTTTGATCTAATTTTTCTGAGACTTTTTTTTATACGTTCAACGATTTCTTTAAATTTTTCTCGAATATAAGCAGCATATCGTTTAAGTTCATCACGTAAATTTTGAAAAAATCCATCATTGATGTAATCACTTGTTACTTCATCAATCGATCCTACATCTGTTGGTAATGTTGATCTAGGTGCTAAAGAAATAACAGTAGAAAAAAATAATGATTTGCTTCATTTAAAATTATCTACATACAAAGACTTTGACAAACATCACATTGTTCCATACTGATAATACCATCATTTTGAATGAAACACCATGGACCATTAATATTCATATTTGGATTACGACAATAATTTTTAGCTAATTTAATTGATGGATCTTTAAAAAAATTTGGCTCGGTTATAATCTCAGTAAATATTGTTTGTAAATCATTCCATGGTAAACATTCATGTTCGAACTTTGTAAATGAATGTTTACCATGATAAAGAAGAATTCCATCTTCAGTTAGAGTACAATCTATTTGATAAAAAATAGAATATAAATTTTCGAAATAATATTTATATTATTGTTATCCTTACCCGAAACATTTCTAGCAATGATCGGTTTACCAGTGAGACTATTGATGATAGTAATAATTGTAAGTAAATGTAGAAGCATTTCTTAGTTTTTTTTTTTGTATATAACAACAAAACATATATCGATGGAAGCTATTTATATATGTATATCTATATGGAATCAGACCATATGATAGCGCCAGAGAAAAAAATAAGTGCGCAATAGATAGAGAAAGGAAAAGCCTAGAGAACTTATTCATCAATATCTTTCATTCATTCTTTTATGCATTTGCAAGCATAATTTTTACAAACAAAGGAAATAATAACTTTACAAAATCAAATTCTTTTCTTTATAAAAAAGTTTAAAATAACTATCTTGAATGAATTACCTCTAAACAATATGGAAAATATTTCATTATTACATAGATGCCACTGATAAACAATCTTACTAATTGTAAGTTCTAGAAATTAAAATTCCAAAATAAAATAATAATAATATTAATAATAATAATGTTTATATATAAATTTTAAAATGAAATAAATACTATTTTTTATTACTTTATTTTGATAGGTCAACCAGTCTCTTACACCTAAAATGAGTCATGTCGTTCATCATCTGTGACGTGCGTGACGTTTACACTAAAATATCTTTTCTATTTCTGATAGATTTTACAACAAAAACAAAAACGAAAAAATAACTATCTATTTAATGTTCTCCTTTGATGAATTACTGTTTCTATTATGAACCGTTCATTCGGTAATAACTTATATTCAACAACCAATTCACGAATGTCGTCAGCACCAGCTACCGATTGGGAGGATTTACGTAAACAAGCACGTCAACTTGAAAATGAAATTGATACTAAATTAATGTCATTTTCAAAATTATGTTCAAATTATGTTGCACGTGATCATTTATCAAATCATCATGGTATCGACTCTCCCACAACATCAACATCATCATCATTTGAAACCATGTCTATTGAAGTTGAAAAACTTCTTGAACGTTTATCTGATATAAATAAATGTATGACTGATGCTATACCAACATTACTTGGACCAAATACAGCTGCAACACATACATTACAACGTCATCATGAAATTTGTCAAGATTATCGACGAGAATTTGAACGTACAAAAGCAAATATAAGAAATTTTCAAACTCGTGAAGATCTTTTAATAAATAATAATAATAATAATTCTGATATGAATTCTCAAGGTTTAAGTAGTCGTCGACAAGATTATTATTTACGTGAAATGGGACATTTAAATAGTTCTCATAAATTAATGGATAGAAATATTGAAATGGCATCACTTTTAAAAAAAGATTTATCTGATCAAAGAAAATATTTTATGAATATAACACATAAATTAAAAAATATTACAACACGTTTTCCATTAATGAATAATATATTACATAAAGTAAAAATTAAAAAACGTAAAGATTCACTTGTAATCGGTTTTGTCATTGCCCTATGTCTTATTATTCTTCTTCTGTATTTGTTTCGATAGAAAGAAAGAAAAACAGCATAGACAAGAACATATTTTCGTTTTTCTTTTATCAATTTTTTTTCTCTTGTTCTTAATAAAAACAAACTAAAAAAGCAAAAAATAAAGTTAAAACATATTTTATTTTATTTTTTTTCGGTTTTTGAAATATTTTTACTCTTTCAGATATGGATAAAGAATATCATCAGCCTTCATTATATAAAAATTCTTCTCTAACTTTATTTGAAAGTTATATTGCTATTGAAAAATTTATTATTGATACACGTTTATCATTTATTGATCAATATAAATTATTTGATTTATTAAAAAAATTATTACCCAATGAAGATAATCATTTAACATGTCAAGGCTTTCTGTCGTGGCTTGTTTGGCGTGTAGATCAACATGAAGAACAACAGCATCAACAAGAAGAACAACAACAACAGCAGCAACAAAGACAATCTATTACAGACAAAAGATTACATCATGAGAGAATGATATCGGAGAATGTACAGGTTAATAAGAAATTAAAAACAAGTAAGAATAACAGATTGATTTCGTCTTGAATAAATGTTTACACGATAGGCTATTGTTAGCATCATTAATATCTTTGATTCACGAAAAACAAATATACATTGTTTTTGACGATAAAATTTAAAGGCTATTTACCTATCCGTCGGTACTTTCTATTTGATAAGATATGGAAGATGAGAACAAAAACAAATTTTTGAAATATCTAATTTTTATTTTTCAATGTTCTTGATTTTTGTACGAATGCACCAATTTCAAAAATTAAAATTAATGCATTCCTAATACGACGAGTATTCAAAGACTCGGCTTATGTAGTTTATTGTTTAAAACATCATTGTTAATTTAATGGAAATTATATAAGATTTTTTAAAAACTTTGATGTGGAAAAGTTATAGTTCATTTGTTTTTTTTTTCTTTTTTATTCATACTGTTGAGAGATTCGGATTTTCATTTTTTATTCATCTAAAATTAATCTAAGAAAAGATTCGTTTACTAACCTATATTCTTCGATTAAGTCAAAATCACTGTGATTTGTTGCTGAAACGAAAGTTAGATAGACAAAAACAGTCTATATTTATCAACCTTATTATTGTTTATTTTCAAATAAACAAAAAAATCCTGGCGTAATATGTTAATCTACCCTTCAAACATTTTCTATTTTCTTATTTCTCTTCAAATAAATCTTTATAGAATTCGTCCTTTTTTTTTTTTTCTTTTTACAATCTTCGAAATATAATTTAGATGGAACATCTCCAGTAGTAGAACCATATAACGATGCTTGTTTAGTTCAATATGCTCAGCGGCAATTAGAACACAATCTAAGTGAATCATCAGGTTTAACAAAAAAATTTATAATTTCATTTAATTATATTCTGTTACATATCTAGGTATACAACAGCAAATAGATCGTCTACAATCCATTGTTCTTCGTCTTGCATCTAATATAGACATTCTTAATCGTCAATCGGATATTCCTAATTCTTCACCTGTGTATTTCCAACCGAATATAAAACATGAGCAAGTAGAAGATGTAAGAAAAAAAACCATACCGAGTGTGATCAAAGTTTTGCGAAATCTTTTGTTTTGCATATATCTCTGTTTAGGAGCATGACAAAATGTTGATCTTGTTTTTTGAAAGATGTGCTGTCGAATTCTCTACAAACTTTCATTTATCTTAATTTAGAACAATAGAAGTGAACATTTTTTATCGGTCGCATAGTGTAATTATGTGAATGGAGCCTACTTCCCACACAGGTTTTAGTAATTTATCCTTTTCGTGAAAGTGAATATTTAGTTCTTAAACTATGATTTACTGATAGATAACTCTTGTCGATTATTTATATATACGAAACTTTTAAAAGCTCTTTCTTTCGATTGAACACATGATCATATATTTTGAAAATAGGGTGATTTTCATGTTTGGTTACGCCTTTTCAAAGAAAGCATTCTAGAAATGTCACTTGTGACCAAACTGTTTCTATTTTTGCAGTATTTTGTAGAAAATTGTTTTCTTTTTCTATGGAAAGTCCTAGTAATGCGTGGGAAAATAATTCAGTTGGAAAAAGAATCCGAATAGTATCGATAAGGCCGTTGTAGTTGTAGCAGATCAGACAGGCTATGTTTTTTAAGGCAAATATGCATTGTAATCAAACACTTACAAATAATTCTACAAGAGTATTTGATAAACATTCAAATTACAAATGAAAAGTCTCTTTCGTGTTTGTTTCTAACTTCAAAAGATCGTTGGAATAACAGAAGATAATATGTGGGAAGTAGACTCAATTCCCATAATTACACTAAGCGCTCTATAAAAGTATTTACTTCTACTGTTTTAAATTAAGATAAATGAAAGTTTGTAGGGAATTCGACAGTGCATCTTTAAAAAATAAATATCAACATTTTATCATGCTTCTAAACAGAGATATATGCAAAACAAAAAGTGTCGCAAAACTTTTGTCACTGTCGGTATACATATAATTTTTGAAGTAAAAAAAAATATATAATCAATTACTGTTAAGAATGAACCTTCAGAACTTGAAATCGAAGAAGATCATGATGATGATGAAACGTCAGATGTTAATCATCGTTTAGATTTTCCTGCTAGTACATCAACGAATTTATCTTATTCCATACATCCAATTCCAACAAAAACTATTGTAAAATAGAATTTCATTTTTTCAAATATAATATACAATTAAATTCATTTAAATAGATGTATGAAGGACGAAATATGATGAAACATCTTCGACCACGAACAACTTTAACGAGTTTTGCACGTCATGTTGCAAGTGATCTTTTTTCTCGAGAAGAAATTATGGCGAAATTACATGTTGACCATAATAATGAACGCGATATTTTTCTTCGACGTAAGAATAATTATATTGTTAAATATGATTTGTAAGGAGTATTGAGATATAGGGGTAAAAATTTGAATCCTCTACAGATTGTTGATATACGATCTTTGATTGTATAGCAATAGCATCTTGTTCTAATATATGAACTACTTCCTTAATTGCTTTTCTGGAGGATTAAGTAAAAGGATGGTAAAGATATGTACGAGAGTACTTCATTATTTTCTAAGGCTTAGGTCTAGATTTTTCTTAGTTATGTACAAAATTTTTTAGTTTTTTTTTTGAAAGATTAATTAAATTGTTTTTTAATGTTTTGTATTCATTAGATTGTATTTGTACAGCCTGGAATTTAACTGAACAAGAACTTTATTTAATGTGGCCAAAAATTCGTAATGCTTTATTACAACTTCGACGTGATGCTATTGCTGGTAAATGTATTCGAATGAATAACAAGCGAAAACAACAAGAACAAGAATCAAATCCTAATCAATGCAATAGTGAATATGAAGATGACGAAAGTCAAAATAAGTTCGATTTATGTACATAAGTTTTAGTTTAATGAAAAGAAAACAAAAAGCCGAAAAATCTATACAATAAATATATTATGTATACCTTCTGCTTATATTGTTTTGATTTTAGATAAGAATAAATAATGCGTTTATCATGGATTTTAAATGCAGCTAAAAGTGGACGACAATTACTTGTCAATTGTGAATCACAAGCAACAGGTCATCGAATAATGCGTATACGTGATAGAACACAAGACAAATTGGAATTTGTACATATTGATCCGTGGATTGATCAAGAAGTTTTATATAAAGAGACACGAAAAATCAAGACATTAGAAAAACAAAAAATGCGAGAAATACATCTTAGTCGATTAACTTGATTATTTTTGTTGAATGTTTTAAATAAAAGAAAAACAACATGTAGATTAGATTTAAACGATATTATTTATAGATAAGTTCAAGTCTCCAAACAGAATCAATTTTAAATAAAAAAAAAATTTTTTTTTCGCGAATGTCAAAAATTTTGTCATTTGATAAATTCTATTTTTTCATTGCGATCTATTTTCTATATCAATGATAATAGAGAAAAATATCTTCTTCGATTTGTACATAATGAATTTTGTCAAAAATGAATTTAAGAAAAATTTCTAATAATACGATAACAAATCTATTGTCAAGATAAAAATCGATCCGTGAGACTTATTAGATATTTTTTCCAATGTTAGAGTTGTCAATCTTTTTTCCGATTCCGCTATCTAGACTCTTGTTTTTTTTTCTCTTAAGATAATAATTGAGACTCAGTATATATGTAAACAACGTTTCATTATTGATAATCAATTATATATTTGTCTATAAGCCTATTACAAACGATATTCAATTAATAAAGTTTCTTATTATTATAATAGCCACTTTTTTAATATGAAAGAAGAAAACTCATTAATAATCGTTGATTATAAGATGATTCTGAATTGGATAGAATTTCTTGGATGCTATTTTTGTGAAACTCACATATTTGATGAAGCAAAAATAGCAATTGCAAGTTATAAGACGAATTTGCTACTCTTATCATCCTAATGAGAGGATATAGTTCAATGATTTGAACACCGTTGATTGTCATAGCAATCCTGGCAAAAGTGCTCGCAAAAGGCTTGAACAACCGGAGTCAAAGGTCATTGGGTGCGTTTCGATTGCAATCAAAGACGAAAGATTTTTTTTCTATAGTTCCTTAGCAACGGAAAAAGACGCTAAAGAACATAAAACATAACAAGCCTTATACGATTCAAGAATATTACAAAGCCTTTCTTGAAATTTCATAAGCTGAAATACATTTTTGAGAATTTTTCAGAAAAATTCTGTTTGCAATGCAGAAATAAATAAAACAGATCGTTTCCTTGACAGCCAATTATTCTTGGAAAGAAACTATCATGTGTTAAAGATTTTTTCATTTAACGTATGTTATGTTAAAGACATATGAGTTCTACATTTTAGCCCCAAAGGAACTGCACTGACAAGCTTCTTTCACAAGGAAAATGAATTATAATAAATGAGTCATTCCACAAGGCCATCAACATATTGATTGATAAATAGCATTACATCAGTTCAATAGAATTAGTATGCGGTCATGTAATCTAATTACTTTATTCAATCAAGTATTATTAATGTGGTTAGAGTGTTAAGTGATAGAAAAAGGTCTGATGTATTTCGTACTTAAAAAAACAACAAAATTTGTAATTAGATATAATATAGTCAATGTAACAGTAGACGAAGTATGCATGGCAGTAGTAAAAATAAAAAACAGGATGGATAAGACCATATTGTTGAAATAGAATATCTCGTTCGTCTCATCGTTTTTATGATGATCGACGTCGATAATTTAAAATATTTATACAAAAAAAATTGATCATTTTGGTTTTATTAATGTTTAGACCAAGATATAGATTAAATACAGGTTATGATTAAATTAGACAATTAATATTTTGAATGATATTAATAAAGATTTGAATTGAATATTTCTCAAAATGTTTTTTTTTTTGATACTTTATTATCAGATGATATGAATCGTTTTGATAATAGTATTGATTTTAGTCAATTATTTATGCTTGTTATCCTTGTGCACTTGATCTATTTAATGTACAATATTGCTCGAATGTTTAATACAAAAGTTGTATTTGTTGAACGTCATTATTATGGTAAATTATTAAAATATGTAAATGAATCTTATTCAAAACAAAAGTATGTTGCCAATTTTACATATTTACTGATAGGTATGCACCAGTTCTATAAAGTCGATATCAAAGATGACCAATTTTTGATATCTAAAACCCCCAGTCCTTCGAGTTCTTTAAACTCAATTTTGATCAGGCTAACCAACGCTATCATCGACCTTCGGAGAACTGAANGGAATAAAAAAGGGCTGGGGGGGGGGGGGGACTGGTCAAAAATCGGAATTTTTCGGTTGTTTTACCAGTCCCCCCCAGTCCTTTTTTCTTTACGTTTAGTTCTCCGGAGTTCGATGATAGCGTTGGTTAGCCTGCTCAAAATTGAGTTTAAAGAACTCGGAGGACTGGTAAGGACTGGGGATTTTAGATATAAAAAATCGTTCATCTTTGATATCGACTTTATAGGACTGGTGCATACCTATTTACTGACAATACTTAAGTATCTTTTTTTTCGAATAAAATATTTTTATATTGTTATGGTTGTAGCTCATACAACTTCAACAGCTATTGTTCAAAAATCGGCGCTATGTCAACTATTTTCTTCTGTAAATTTTCTAACAACTATTTGCAATATTAATTTGGTATTTTTATAGATTATTACTAAAGATGTTCTACAAAAAAAAGTTACAAATGTATTAATATTATTTGATTATTAAATCATCTTATTCATCGTATTGAAGCACTTTTTGGTAGCTGAAGCTGTTGTTTGAATTAGAAAACGTTATATCATTATTAATTAAATACATAAATACGAATGAAAAGATGTAAATGAATTTTAAAAATAGTTAAATGTATTTTTTCTCTAATTATATTTCTTATACGGAATGTTTTTATACAGGTTCAGAAATTCAATAGATATGGAATATTTTTTTTTTTTCATTATTAATTTTGAACGATTGGCGAACAATTACGAGGAAAGTCCTTCAAATAATTAATCACTTTGGAGTCTACACTGTGGATTATGTTGACCCTTATGAATCAAACATCAATGCAGTTTTCACACATATGTGATTGTTAAATTGTGCTGTACGACTAATTCTGCTATACTTAAAAGTTTTAAAATGTTTCTTACATGACAAAAAATTTGGAATACGACATGTTGTATTTGTATCTTCCTCTTTACCCATGAAAGTTGGATAAACGAAAATTTTCCAGAATTTATCAGATCTTTCACCTGTAATCACACAATATTGTTGTTTATTTGTCATTAATTTGTTCGGTATACGGTTTTCAATGGCTGTAATTTTTTGTTGAGATAGATTATCAATCGAGTCGACAAAGATTGATTCATCAATCGTTGCTTCCATTGACACGGCAGGTGAAATAGTGATAGTTGATTGAAGTCAATATTCTTCTGACTGAGGGGAAGATATTGGAACTTGATCGTTATTTGAACTCATCTAATACAAATAAATATGAAAATATGTAAAAATCAACTATTATGTTGAACAGAAAGTTCACGGTCACTTGCAAAAAAGATCTAATCGGATAAGATGATCTATCCAGCATTGAGAAAGCAAATATACCAAATTGTAGAAAATTTCAAGGCGCATCGAATGGTATATAATAAGTCTATTCTCTAAAACGTTNTGGATATCAACTATTCAGTACTCTTTTTTTTGTACGTTTATTTAAATTTTATCGAATATTCATAATTGTCAAAGCAATAAGTGTTCTTGCAGAAAGATTGCAAGGAGCGATGTCACAGCTTTTTATTTTGACACTATTCACTTTTCTATTCGATGCTATCGTTTACTTTACCAAGAGTATTGATAACACAACTGCGTTTGATTCATTTCGCATGCTCATCTATTGGAGTATTATAACAATCATAAATGTTGAGTAAGAATGCAAATATGATGTCATATGTGAAAAATACAACAAGTATACGTTGAATTGTTTCCTTGTGTGAATAAAACGATATATCATTGATCTCACTGGTCAGGCGTATATAGCATTCGATCATTTAGTAGTTATAATAAGTGTGAAGACAAAGGATAATAAAAATATAGAAAAATGGAATATTTAATTTCACTAATGCTCGCATCATTGCCATTTGCAGTTCACTGTGGAACATCGATCATTGTGATATAAATAGCATTATTTTGTTGCTCATCAAGACAGAGAAGTCGAAAGTTTGCAGCTGACATATTTCGTACGGTATAGTTCATAGACTAAAAGAGCTAGTACAGACAGGGAGAAGAGCATGTAGTGGCGAGAGAGAGGAGATTATAAGTACTAACCAAGTTACCAGTCGGCAGATATCTCAAGGCATCGATCTGAGATATCGGATGGGCTCATAGAAGTGACCATTGTTTACCCTCCATCTATCGGAAAGTGGCACTTCAAAGGTCGATATGAAGCTTCTATGCCCTTGAATGATCTATCTATAATGAATTCCAATGGGTTCTGATGGTTATAATTCGCAGAGTTTCGATTGGTCGATATTTCTACCCTTCGAGGTTTTTTCAATTTTCTAAACACTTTTGTTTCTTGTGTGACGACTTTTTCAAGCTCTCCGACACCTATCGGATACTTGATAAAACATAATACTTGAAGGTATGTACTTACGATTACGAAGCTTTTATAGATCAGATGAAATAAATAGAACGTTTTAATCTCAAATTAACTTATGTTTCGTTATAAAACATATTATAACTTAATATTTTTTTTTTCGTAATTTTCTTTTAATATATGATTTTGATTTTTTTTTTAAAAAGATGAGTGAATAGATGGATAATATGAATGATTGACAAAAGGAAATCTGTGTATTATAAGTTTCGTTTTATGAAACAGCAGACATGTGTTTAAAAAAAAAACCTACCTCATACTTTATTTGAATAAAAAAAATAGTTAATACATATCGGATCTAGAATAACAATCAATCAATCTTATTCTGTTGATACACTTAACATTAGCGTTGTTTAACTATTCTAATAGTTTTAAAAACAGAAAAATAAACTAGCCGTTCAATATCTGTCTCGAAGAAATAATTATGGTGATTATTGTACGTTATCGATCAAAAATAGATTCTATTCTTGTGAAAAATGAATGATTACGACACTATTACTCTCATGACATTGAGAAAAATTAAGAGAAAGACTGATGGTTATGTCTATATAGAGTATCAATATGTTTTTATTTAGTTTCTTAAATGATAAGAATTCTTACAATGCGCTGTTGAAGAGCATGTATCGTGGAAAACTTTGTCATGGATTCTAAAGAATCTAGAACTATATATGTACTGACGTCTCAGAAATAATTTCGAGAGCTAACTTAACAGATTTTTCACAATGATAATTTGTAGTTATGCAAATTTCAAAGCATGAATTTCTTTGAAAATATGAAATCGATACGTAACTACTTAGTGTCGCGGTGATTTGTTTTTTTATTTATCTTGTATGTTTGTGATTTTGATTTTAGAACAAAATTTTGTAGAGACGAGGATTCTATTAAAAAGAATTGGGCTTTGACAAAAAAATATAATAACAAAAGGGAAGAAATATTATTGTAGTTCAATATTTTGTATGAGATATCGAGTCAATAACAACTTCTTCATTAGTCAATAATACTCTGTTTTTGAATGATGTTGAAAATTTTGTTTTCTTGCTGATTAAATAGATAAGAGGTTCGAAATTGGCAAGAGGTAATTCTTTCGACTCAACAACTTGTAAAGCTGTACCATTTGCTGACGTATCCAGCCAATTTTGTACTAATTCTGGTATCATAGCCAGATAGACTGAACAAAGTCGATCTATTGTTGTAAGAATAGGTGCCCAGACAGATCCTAACATATTGACTGGTATACCAAAGTGACCTTTATTCCGCATAAAGCCAAATAGAATTAAAATGAAGAGATAACACCACAAAATAATATAATGTAAATATATGAGATATCGTGTAATACATAGTCTTGCCGGGCCGCAACACAAGCACGATATTCGTGGCTGATCATTATCACGAAAAAATGCCCATCGAACGAAGCAAACCAATTTTACAACAAAATAACGAAGAGCATAATGCCAAGTAATGACAGATGTAACCATTGTAATAAGATGAGTCATTTCAAAATAATAATAAGTACATTTTGGAATACTTTCAGTCTCATTTAATCGACATGGATCTCTATTATTTTCACATTCAAGTACTTTATATGGATAGTGAAATGAGAAACAATCATTTACAGATTCACTTCGTCGAATAAATAAAGTTCTGATTATAATAAGCATAAGTACTTGTACATGAGTAGCAATAATGAGTAATATTGATCGATTAGGATTAGGAATATGCGAGAAACGCTGATCAAATTTATAACAAGTTATTATTTGTTCATGAAAACAAACTTGATTTGATTCCAATTTCCTATCAGAATAAATTTCATTCATATAAGCCAATATTCGATCAATACGTTTATTCTTCAAAAATGTTTGTATTATACTTAAGATAAGCACAATTGAATAGATAACAAGAACAATTTTATTATTGACTGACTCGATTGTTTTAATAGTTGAATGAAAAATGTAAGATTCCAAATCAACGCCAGAATTCCGTGTTGATACGAAAACACCTATTGATTTCATGAGAACTAATCAAGTTATAGTTTGACTAATAGCAAACGATTTAATATCAGTATGAATGAGTAGAATACATTACCTTTATTTTATATTCTTAAATAGTCTATATGCGTATTTTATACGGATAAGAGTTTGTCATATTGGTAAATACTACCATATGACGTGTAGTATACGAAATGTCATATATATTAAGTTAATCACTGTGAAAAAAACGACGTCATAATTTATTCTCCTCTATTGTATTTTAACATATATGAGTGCAAAACTTTATGTCTGATAAGAGTACCAAGTAGACATTTTATGACAAATATTTTCGATTACAAAAGCATTTTTGAATTAATCAAAACTTTTGACTAGGAATTTCAGCGTAGACATTTAATTAAGAAAATATAATGCAGACAAAAGAATATCAATATATGAACGCTTTAGTCATAGAATTGTGCATTCTTTACTGTTAACAACAAATAAAATGATGAACGCATTCAGAAAATCATGATTACACTAGATGCCCACTATCCTAACTAAAAACACGAAATTATTTTGTTCCAAGCAAACAAATGTAAATAGCAGACTAAATAGAAATCATGTGTTATATAACAAAATATCAATGGCAATGTAAATATTCAAGAGTGTATAGTGATTATGAATAGTAGCTTTATTGCAAAAATAATTTTATCGCTAATTAATCGAAAAACCTAACAAGTTCGATAACGCCGATAATACTTCTGCCGATGCCTTGAATATTAATTATGATAAACTTCTATTAAATAGTAATGGTGGTATGACAGCAGTCAAGCGTAAAAGTTGACAAAATGCAACGATGGTGTGGGTGTGGGTGTGGGCGCCATTGGAGAGATCACTCACACCCACACCCACACCCTTCATACGACATATAATGAGTATAATATATCCGTGACTAGAAAAGCGTTGATAACAGATTTGACTTGTTTCTAAATTGTGAAAATAATTATCTCTCTTAGCTATATCTCATCTCTTTAAATTTATCTAAAAAAGACAATACCGTTGTTACTCTTTTGAAAACAATTCTTTTATTATTAAATAGTTCATCATTAAAGCAGATTATCATAATGCTTTAATTATATTCAAATGTATAATATTCTCACAACTTTATTTTGAATTGTAAGTTATCCATAGTATTGTTGCACATTAATTTAATAAGAAAAACTCGAGATATATTAGAGTTTTTATTATGATTAACGTCTCAACAATCGAAGTCAATCTATATAGTAAATCTCAAATATAGAATTATAGAAACATTTGACTTAAGAAATTGTTTAAAATATAAAATGTTGATACGAAAAAAAAATAATCCTTTCTTTCAAAAATATCTTCGATATTTTTCATTTAGAAATTATATTTAAGATCATTGTTTCAGTGATTATATTCGATGATTTGAATTTGTATTAACAATAAGGTCTGAATAAACATCGACAAATTTTGATAAGATTTTTACCAAGCATAACTATCGTCGATAAATAGTATTTGTTCTAATGTTGACAGTGAAAAATATTGAAAAAACTGCGATGTTCTGATATACTCAACAAAAAAATTATTTCTAGATTTTCCTAAGCGAAATTTTTATTAGACATGTGTTATAATTCGACTTCTGATTAGAATGATCCTTTAATAATTTTTTTTTGAAACAACTCTTAGCATCTCACACTTTGTTATAGAATTCGAGAAAAAAACTCGTATCGAAAGATATTTTCTCTCTATCATAATGAAATTTGAATCGATCAAATCAATCAACGTATTAGTTCACTTTGTAACACTTTCTTCAAAAGTCTCTGATTATGTTTTTCTTATAAATTATTTTTTAAAATAAAACACAGTAACTTTCATCAAACACAATTCATTTAGTCACCACTTAAGATAAATGTAGATTGTAATGCGATCAAGTTCACGCATTATGATTGATTGAAAATTTTATGCATCATAATGCATAGTATACGCTGTATTATCATTTTATTGGATCTATTAATTTTTTAATAGATTCTAATGCATTATAATCTATTAACTCCCTTGAACATTTTAAGTCAATGAAATGTGTCCGATTTTATTTTCGAGGATGTGGATGTACATGGATGTGATCAACTTGTACGATATCAACTATTTAGATTTTATTGTTAGATAAACAATATATATATAATGAACTCAAACTGATATTATCGTTATATACATTGATAATAGACTAGAAACAAGTAAAAAGTTCTTGAAGCAAAACTTTGATTTGCATTTGAAGTAGACTGAAGTAGAGTCATGTGTAGAATTTTTGTTTTTCTTTCTTTAATTCGTCGATACTCACCCGATCAACGCTGTCATTTAATCGATCATAAATAAAACGAATCCTTATGGAGTACAATAAACAATCTCTCTCTCACTAATCAAAATATTGATCGAATATTCATTTACTTATGAAAAAAACATAGACAGATCAACGATCGAGTTCTAAAAAACCATTGTTTCAAGAAGATTATAAGATATGAAGATGCGTGAAGACCTGTGAATATGATTCTTGTCTTTATCTACATCTTCAAAAAGTTCAATCGATGTTGAGAAAATCGAAAACTATAAAAATCATTGAAATTTAATCAAATCAATTGCCACTTTAAAAATATGTTGTTAATGGTCGGACTGTAGTTCTTCATATGAGCCAGTCCGTATAAGCCACGACCGACTTCATAGAGACCCTGCTCAATCGATGTCGTCAGATTTTTCTCAATTTAAGATATGTTATAGAGGGAAGAGTTTTATGATTTTTGACGCAAGCCGATTAAAAAAATATTGATCCCTCGGTTTTTTATGAGCATTTTACGAAAAGGTCTAAAAATGACTCTATATATAAATAGAGATCCTAATGCAACGATATTTCACGAATGACTTAACCGAATGAGCTGACATTTTTCAATGCCATACATCTTAATGAATTCTATTTACCATAAAATTTTCGCTGTAAAATATTGAGCCATTGGGATTTTATGAAGCACAAAATATATGAAAAAAGGTCCATTTTCCGTAACTTTGGCACTTCATAACTTTTGATAGAAATGATATATGGCTCTCAAATTTTTATTGTTAATAGGGCACTGAGAAATGTGTCGCTCCTGAAAATTTCAGCTATCCATACCGTTCCGTTTACTCAGGGCAGCCCCGTGAAAAATGGAATTTTGATAAATGCAGGGACTTTCAGGATAGACTTTCTCCCAAGAAATGGATTGTCTGGGGTGTTGGCTATTAGAACTTTGAAGTACTCTCTTTGGGCTACAACTCTGTAGAAAAATTAGCGTGGGATCTCCAGGAATGGCCCCAGAGCACTCATTGCAAAACATGAAAACATGTGCCTTTTTCCATGGGAAATCTACCTAAGTGCAATTCAAATTTCCTCCAAGGAATTGAGTATGTGATATAAATTTAATGTAGTAAAAATCAGCATTCAAATCTCTATTACCCTGTATCGAAATATCCTTTGAAAATGAAAAAAAAAATTTTTGCGAAAAATCCCCCTACTCGCTCCAGGCCTCTTCCTGTAACATTTTATTCTCACAGCCCCTGTACAAGGGGGATTCTTCGTAAAAATTTTTTTTTTCATTTTCAAAGGATATTTCGATACAGGGTAATAGAGATTTGAATGCTGATTTTTACTA